AGCTCCATCCAGCGTCACGCCAGTCACTTTTGCTGACACGTGAAACCCTCTCTTATAATCTTCCATTTACAATTGTGAATCTCTGTTCTCAGTGATGAATTTTGTTAAGTCTCGTAATAGGAGTAGCCTGACCGATGAAAGTAGTAGCTCGTGCATATCTCTGAAGGTCACGAAATATAAACCTGATGTAAAGTCTCTGTCATCAGGGATGCAGCAGCAAAAGTCCCACTGATAATATCAAACAGAGTCATAAAGTTTTCTGTCGGACTATCAGTGTACATAAAAAGAATAAGTGTATTTTTCATCATCATATACTGTGTTTTTGTAGCTCGAGTGAATTTTATTATTTCTTCAAGGTTCTTCACATACATACACCTTAAGAGATATCAAGTAGGCGTAACATGTTCTCAAAAAATTAGGGTTGGCACGCAGAAGAATTTTCAGTCGGAGATTTTTCAGGTTTTGGGACACACTCACAAAAGGGTTGCCCACCCCTGGCCTAGGGCATGTCAGCCACTTGTTCCTGTGGACTGTGACCTGAGAGGCAGAGCATCATTGGTCCAGTCCCCAGCTGGGGAAACTGAGGCTGAGAGGGGAGGGGTGGACTGGGAGTGGGCAGGGCCGGGGTCTCCCCCAAGAGGCTGGCTTTGGTGTCACTCTCCATAGTGACCCCGCAGGAGCTCACTTAGCATCCCTGCTGCTGTCTCAGAGGGGACCCTGGGGGCCATGGAGGGTGTCGGAGGAGGAATATCCTTCTGCCTCGACCGCTTAAAGCCACTCCACAGCCACAGGACCAGGATGGGATGGTCTTGCTGAAGAGCCACCAAGGAGCTTGTGCATCCCATGATCAGGAGCCTCTCCCAGACCAGGAGCCCAGGTGCAAGGACACAGCCCTGGGTGAGAGGACTTCTTTGAGCTGCGCTGTGCTAGCCTTCAAATTTAGGGCCAACTCGGGACCAGCACTGCGGGTCAGAGGCCAAGGCTGTGTGTGAACAGCACTGTCGCCCAGAGTCCCCTCTGCCTCAGTTTCCATGGAGCTGTAAAATGGGGGTGATGATAACTAACATTTTCGTGCCCCCCTACATGTTGCACCCAAGGCAAGTGCCTTCCTCACCTCACACTAGTCCTGGCCTTGCAAACAGAAAGTTGTGGGTTTTCCCTATAAATCGGTTATGCCACCTTTCTTCCTTGTTTTGCTCAGGTTAAGGTGCAAGCACTTGTGACAAAGTCTGATTGGCAGCGAAGGGGTAGAATCTCAGGGGAAGTGATGAGTGAAGAGGCGGGTGCTGTGACCTATGATGAGGAAGTTGAAAATGCTCCCATGCCATTGGACCCCTTAATAGCAGGAAAAGCACAGTGTGGGGGTGAAAAACACATTTTCCTTCCACCTTTCTAAGTTCTTCTGCCTAGACCCGTGGTTGACAAACTGTGGCTCACGAGCCACCTGTGGCTCTTTGGCCCCTTGAGTGTGGCTCTTCCTAAGCCTTAGGAGTACCCTAATTAAGTTAATAACAATGTACCTACCTATATAGTTTAGTTTAAAAAATTAGGCTCTCAATAGAAATTTCAATTTTTGTACTGTTGATATTTGGCTCTGTTGACTAATGAGTTTGCCCACCACTGGCCTAGACTAATAATCAGATTAACACCAGGCAAGTTAACAGTGGCAACCAGCCAGCTTTATTGCACATGACATATTATTACATGTGACAGCTTTATTACATATTTATATTGTGCCATAAGAATCCCCAGGGGAGACTGGGCATTTGAGGCACAGGTGCCATCCAGAGCTAAAGAGAGAGGGGGTTGTGGTTTGGGACTTGAAAGAGGAGGAAGGCAATTTCCATGGACTTGGACAGCAGATGTTTGCTGGGACAACTTTAACAATGGGACTGTGATCAGAGGGCCTTGCTAGTGTCCTCTCTTTCCTTCCCACCCAGTTCCTATTAAACTACAGATGCCTGTGCTGAGCTCCCCTCCTGGAGCAGGTCCTCTTCTAGATCCCTTTCAGGCAGTTAGGGAGAAGGACAGGGGTCTTCCTGAGGCTTTTGCTTCTTGAAAGGAACAGCTTAAACAGTCAGTATCTCCAAAGGCATATTTGGGGTGGTACACTCCGCTCCCCTCCACAGAAACAACAACCCAGCCAACAGGGCTGCCCCAGATTCAGGGAATGTTTGTGATAATATACTCCCACCCAGCTTATATTTCTAAATATATTTTTATTGATTTCAGAGAGGAAGGGAGAGGGAAAGAGAGATAGAAACATCAATGATGAATGAGAATCATTGATTGGCTGCCTCCTGCACATCCACTACTGGGGATCGAGCCCGCAACATGGGCATGTGCCCTTGACTTGAATCAATCCTGGGATCCTTCAGTCCGCAGACCAATGCTCTATCCCCAGCACCAAACCAGCTAGGGCTGCAGCCTAGCTTGTTGATATAGCAGCCAGCTTCCCACAAACGGCCAGGGAAAGTATGCAGGTGTGGTTAGTGTGGCTATGAAATCTGTGGGGCAATGGCTTTTCTCTGACCTGCAGGAGGCAGAGAGAATGAGCAATGTTCCCACACACCCTGCCCTCTGGCAGCGCCTGCCTGTGCTCAGGGGGTGTAAGGTTCTACTCCCTTCTCGGTGGGATTATGTTATTCTGCAGGGAGGCTTTGCCCAGTGCGGGTCCTTCCTGGGCAGGTGGTGTAACAGAAGAAAAAGCTCTCTCTGATTCTATCTTATTTCTAGCCTGCATTTCTCCCATGGCCTTCAGGTCATGCTCTAGGTATGTTAATTATTAGAGAAATTCTGCTGAAAGCTTGAACTTGTGGCAAAGATTTGTGGGAGCCTCAAGACCTAATGAGATGAGCAGAGGTCACTGGAGAACTGGGGGACAAAGAGAATCAGAGAGTTCTGTGCTCTTCCTTGGGTCCCTGTTGGGGCCCAGGTGTCACACCCCTCTCGCCTGTTCTCCCTTCCCTTGACACGAAATAAGCCTGAATTCTGGGCTCTCGTGAGATGGCTTTGTGGGAGCTTTAAGGCCCCCTTCTTCTCCAGCTGGCGCCTTCTTGATCTACAAATCTTTTCTTCCACCAACCTCTGATGTTTTGAATATTGGCCTTTATTGATGCATTGGGTGCATGAACTTTGAATCGGTAACAGTGGGACCCTAGAAATCTATAGAGGGGGAACCACAAATTCGTAGGGAGCTAGGAATGCTACAGTTCATCTACACCCCTATTTTTTAAATTATTGATATTTATTTCAGAGAGAAAGGGAGAGGGAAAGTGAGAGAGAAACATCAGTGCTGAGACAGAATCATTGATTGGCTGCCTTCTGTAAAACCCTCCACTGGGGATTAAGCCAGCAGCCCAGGCATATGCCCTTGGCTGGAATCAAACCCGGGACCCTTCAGTCCGCAGACCGACGCTCTATTCATGGAGCCAAACCAGCTAGGGCAGCACACCCCTATTTTTGAGGGTCCCGAATGAGGCCACATTCCCTGCAGGAATGAAAACCAAGATATTCCAGTCTGCCCCCAGCACCAGGTAAGGGATGCAGATATCCACTATGAGCTCAGTCTTGGGATGGATCAGTTCTGAAGCACTGACAAGTAGCCGTATTCAAATTCACAAGAGCTTTAAGAGGAGAGACTTACATATGTGGGCAAAGCAGCTGCTTGCTTGCAGTGGTGGCAGCCGGGGAGAAACCCACACCTTCCCAGAACAGGATTCCTCTTGCCCGCCCCCCACCCACTTTAAATCCCCTCACAGGAAGATATGTTTTTGTAGATTTTATTTATTTATTTATTTATTTAAATATGTTTTTATTGATTTTTAGAGAGAGAGTAAGGGAGAGGGATAGAGAGATAGAAACATTGATGAGAGAGAAACATTGATTGGCTGCTTCCAGCACGCCAACTGGGGATGGAGCCCGAAACAGGGACATGTGCCCCTGAACTGAATTGATCCTGGGACCCTTCAGTCCACAGGCCTACGTTCAATCCTCTGAGCCAATCCGGCTAGGAATCTAAATAAACTTTTGATTGTATTTTGAAAAACAAACACACACAAGAATCTGAAGTTTTCCTCTCTCCAACACCAGAGAACATGTCAGGCAACGATACCCTACAAAGTCCAACTCTGGAAGCATATCCAGCCCTTCTGTTGGCGAATCCCCCCTCCTGTTAGAGTGATCGAACCAGTGCTGAGGAGAAATGCCCGCTGGGAACCAGGCAGTCTACACCCCTGTGAAGAGTGGTGGCTGTCACACAATATAAATTATCCAGCGTGGAGGGCACGAGCAAAGAGGAGGAACTCTCTGAGAACTGTGGAGTGGGGAGCGAATGCCCTGCCCAGAGTGCTTTTCATGGCCTGGTGTGGCTTGTGTCTGGTA